CAATTGTCAATACATCACAGTGAAAGATGAACATATTACTGTGAATTGTCAATACATCACAGTAAATGATGAATATATTACTGTTAATTGTCAATACATCACAGCGAATGACGAACATATTACTGTTAATTGTCAATACATCACAGGGAATGATGAACATATTACTGTTAATTGTTAATAAATCACAGTGAATCACTAACATATAACTGTTAATTGTCAATACATCACAGTGAATGATGAACATATTACTGTTAATTGTTAATAAATCACAGTGAATAACTAACATATAACTGTTAATTGTCAATATATCACAGTGAATGACGAACATTTAACTGTTAATTGTCAATATATCACAGTGAAAGATGAATATATTACTGTTAATTGTCAATACATCACAGTGAATTGTGAAAATGTTACTAGTGAATTGTGAATATATTACTGTGAATTGTCAATACATCACAGTGAATTGTGAATATGTTAATGTGAATTGTCAACACATCACAGTGAATTGTGAATACATTACTGCGAATTGTCAATACATCCCAGTGAATTGTGAATATATTAATGTGAATTGGCAATACATCACAGTGAATTGTGAATATATTACTAGTGAATTTTGAATATATTACTGTGAATTGTCAATACATCACAGTGAATGATGAACATATTACTATGAATTGTCAATACATCACAGTGAATTTTGAATATATTACTGTGAATTGTCAATACATCACAGTGAATTGTGAATATATCACTGTGAATCGTCAATATATCACAGTGAAGAACGAACATATTACTGTGAATTCATTTGACTGTTAGTTGTCATTTCATTCAGGTTGATGATGAACATATTACTGTGAATTGTGAATAAGTTACAGCGCATGATGAACATATTACTGTTAATTGTCAATATATCAAAATGGAGGTTGAACATACCACTGTTAATTATCAATACATTACTGTGAATTGTCAATATATTACTGAGAATCGCAATAAATCATAATGGAGGATGCATATGTTCCTGGCAGAAAGTTTCCTGGTATGCAGCATGTATTCCGGACACGTTATACCACAACAAATCAACAAATAAACAGTAAATAAACAAGCCACTTACTTGCCCGTACTTATGACTTCTTCTGAAAATTTGGCGTACTGCTGATCAAGTGTGGTGAGAACTTCGGGTGTTTGTTGTTGTGGCGCTGGTCTGGTAAAATTAAAACATTTAATCATGATTTTTTTCGTGTAGATAATTACTGAGTTGGGAAATTACAAATATGTTGGACTCACTGCGAGAATTCACTACTGTAGAAAAAATATAAAATATAAAAAAGATATTTAAACATCGACTTACAGAAAAATCATAATTAACTCGTATTTAAAGAATTTCGCTTCATCTCTATTGGTAGCGCCTGGAATCAGTTAACCTAAATTCCACTGCCTTAGAGATGCGGGGAAAGGATGATATTCGTAAAATTTTGTCGTGCCTAAATGTCGTCTATGAACTATCGTGAAACTGTCATGTCAATGCATGGAGTTTATATTTATTGTAAAAAAGCATGTTTTAATTGTTGAATTACGGCTGCAAAGAACACGGGTCAGAGAAATGTCATATTTTTTTGTATTTGCTATTGATGTTTATAAAACAACTAGAGAAGACGGTATCGGAATGTATTTGTAAAGTAACACACTACTTACACTTCCGGTTCCGGTTCTTCCTCTTGAGCCTCTGCAACCCCTTTTCCTTTCACATCTCCCTTTTTAACCCCTTTTGTATCAGCTTCATTCTTGTTTTCCTGTCCTTTGGCTTCTCCTTTCACTTCCGGTTCCGGTTCTGATTCTGCTTGTGGAGGAGGGGGACTCTCCTTGCGCGCCTGCGAATCCACGCTGTGACAAGGATAAATTATAACAACAATTTGGGCAAAGCACTAGTCTTACTATAATATATTTTAAATGTTATCTGCTAGTCTTCGAATATCAGAAAAGTGTTTTTCATATGTATCCCAATGTTTGGTTTTTTCGGGTCCGCTGCAGTATTGAAAAAAAAGTCATCATTTGCCTTCGTGTTAAAAACAATATGAAAAGACCACTTTGGGATACTGACGTGATCAACATCAAAATTTAATGTCCATATCATAATACTCGGGATCCCTTTGTTTTTATATTGTCTTCCATGTTTATGCAACTTCTATATTTCCGTTTCTCGGCAAATCTACCGTGTACTCTTTTTGACCTGTTTTGTGTTCATCGACAGTTATGACATAACAAAGAAACCATTTTGATAACAGTTTACAATCACATAAATATCATCAGAGGAATAAACACCTCATAATAAGTTATAAACAGGTGAATATTCAAATATTGTATACCTACCCTGTAAAAGACTCATCAGTGACAGACTGGAGCTTATCAAACATTTTGTTTAGAGTTCCACTATATCGTTTGAACCAGTTTGATTCGGCATGACTGAAATAAGAAATATTAATTAAGTTAAATAAAAAACTCCATAAAATATTAGAATTCAAAAACCACTCTTACAACAACAAGTAGCATTATTTCTATTAAACATGTTTTCGGATAACTCGTATCAAATTGCAACGTTTAGTAAATTCACTGTCAGACCTGTTTTATACACGCTTTTTATTAGACATGTGACGTCACAGATAGTACGGAGTAATTGTGGAAGCAAATACTGATTGGTCATAGCGATCAGACTGAATGGTTGTGTACGTCTGCGCAATAAACAAGAAAAAAACTGTTGCGTCAGATGAATACTCATGCTATTAGTACTTTTATAACATAACTGTATGCGAAGGTGAAATGATCCTGAACATCTCAGACTTTTCAGACTTTTCAACACAACAGAGACCGAAATAGTCCAGCTAATCAGCAGCTTGGAAATAAAGAATGGCTTTATACATTTCAACCTTTTCAAATCTGCGACTAAACTTATTAAAACGAAACGAATTAGAATGTGTTTTTGTCTCTTACTGTAAATTTGGTGCTATGGAAATAATCCTTGTTAGTTAAAGAACAGTTTTCGATTTATTGCTCTTAATGAAAATCAGATCACGTGATACGCAGGTAATGTTTATCTGGAAATTTTCGCTGCATTTAAGTTTTCGCCTTTTTTCCATAATGAGGGTGAATTTGTTATTACAGATAACCTAAGAAAACACCATGATAAACATAGGAATTAAATGTCACGACGAAATTAATGCTGGGCGAAAATTGATTCCATGGGCGTAGAGCGAAAGTTTGACTGGGCGAAATTGATTCCATGGGCGTAGAGCGAAAGTTTGACTGGGTGAAAAAATCTCGATATAGAGTATTTGTACGGTATATGTTTATTTTGTAAATGCCGTCAGTATGAGCTTCATTTTCTGGACGTACCCATTCGCTAAGAGAGGCTTAATCACAAAACATGAAACGTGATTTAAGCTGAACAGAGACCACGTGATCATCTCCATCATGGCGTCTGTCGGTCCTTCTTCATTCCTGAAATATCATCGAGTGCTTCCAGTGATTAACATGCTTTTAATCATACACTCTAAATCAAAAATTAATGTGATCATTTCAGATATATGACATATGAGAACAATGTTTTTATGATCCAGAAGCATAACGACTAAGTGTAAAAATACGATTTTAAGGATCCATATTATACATAAACTTTACTTACGGTTTCGCGGCGTCTAGGAGTTTAGACAGTGCTGAACATACGTCAGTAGATTTGTCCACCGAACATTCCAGGAAAGCATCCCTCTGTCTGTAAAAGTCAGAATAAAGTAGATATATGTCATCCATTAATCTTCCAAACCTACTTCTGCACCAGAAAATGTGACAGTACGAAGGACTTTCGTTAAGACTTTCATCTGACTACCAAGGACTTTCATTTAGACCTTCATCTGACTACCAAGGACTTTCATTTACACTTTCATCTGACTACCAAGGACTTTCATTTAGACTTTCATCTGACTACCAAGGACTGTTAATAAGACTTTCATCTGACTACCAAGGACTGTTAATAAGACTTTCATTTGACTTCTAAGGACGACTTTCATTTTGGCTTTCATTTGACTTTTGAGGACGACTTTTATTAAGACTTTCATGTGACTACCAAGGTCTTTCATTAAAACTTTCATCTGACTACCAAGGACTGTCATTTAGACTTTCATCTGACTACCAATGACCTTTATTTAGGCTTTCATCTGACTACCAAGGACTTTTATTAAGGGTTTTATTTGACTTCTAAGGACGACTTTCATTTAGAATTTCATTTGACTATAAAGGACATTATTTTAGACTTTCATCTGACTACAAAGGACTTTCATTTAGACTTTCATCTGACTACCAATGACTTTCATCATAACTTTCATCTGACTACCAAGGACTTTTATTAAGGGTTTCATTTGACTTCTAAGGACGACTTTCAATTAGACTTTCTTCTGACTACCAATGACATTTATTTAGACTGTAATTTGACTCCCAGTGACTTTTATTGCGTGTCATTTTCATAATTCGCTTAATTTGGGAATTTTAGCTTAGCAAAAGAGCATTGCGTACATCACTTCCAACTACAATACTTACGCATCAGGAACCGGAAGTTTAATGACGTCATATATGACTGTGACCATTTTGACACACGTGGCGCACGTAGATGATATTGTTCTGGACAGATCCATGTACTCATCTGTCTCTCCCCAGTGCCTGCAGATAACAACAAATAACATTAAAAATATATTTGTTGTACTAATTTAAAACAGCGCCAATTTACAAATGTCGTCCCTTTCCTCCAACAATTCCAAAAGTAAGATAAATTGCGCCTAACAACGGCACAAATCGTCCCTGACTCCGGGAGACAACATGCGCATAACAATGGCACTGATCGTCCCCGAATCCGGCAGAGAACATGCGTCTAACAGCGTCAGGAATAGACTTCAGTACATCAACGTCATACCCATTATGTGCATGAACCGACATTAAGGCCTCATTCGATATGGCTTCCTCATATTTTTTGTCTGTAACCTTTGTGCAAGATGTAGCACTAAGTTCTATTTAAATGTGTCATTTCTTTACCTAACCTGTAGTATTGGTGGTAGAGTGCAAGAATTAACACTAACTTCTATTTGAATTTGTCATCGCCTTAACTAATCTGTAGTATTGGTTGTATAGTGCAAGAAGTAGCACTAAGTTCTTTTTAAATGTGTCATAATCTGTGGTATTTGTGGTAGAGTGCAAGAAGTAGCACTAAGATCTATTTAAATTTGTCATCGATCGCCTTAACTAATCTGTAGTATTGGTGGTATAGTGCAAGAATTAGCACTAAGTTCTATGTAAATGGGTAATCCCTTACCTATTGTGTAGCATTGACGGCAGAGTGCAAGAAGTAGCACTAATTTCTATTTAAATGTGCCATCACATTACCTATTATGTAACGTTTGTGGGAAGGTGCAAAACGTTTTACTGTTTTCTATTTAAATGTGTCATCGCCTTACAATGTACCTATTCTTTAGCACTGATTTAAGAGTGCAAGAAGTAACACCAAGTTCTATTTTAAATATGTCATCCCCTTACTTATTCTGTAGTATTGTTGGTACAATGCAAGAAGCAACACGAAAGATCTATTTAAATATGTCATTGCTTTACCTATTCTGTACCGTTTGTGGAAGGATGAAATATGTAAGACTTAGTTCTTATTCAATGTGTCAAATATATAATAAGGCACTGTTCAGACTATCCGTTGTTGTGTAATAAAGTTACTTGTATTAAATGTCTGGGGAAACGATTCTCACTTCTCTCTCGATAATTACGACCAGGCTGACATTGTTTATGCGCAGTTGTACCTAACGATAGAAGCCACCTGTACTTTTACCTGTGTGCAGGCAGCTGACTGGCCTGTCTATGTAATTATGCTTTCTCATGTATCGCTGAATGCTATCGCCCCATATCACACGTTAATTACCTGGGTATTTTATCCGTAATCTTATCCTGTTCGGTGTTTTCCATGTGCGCTGCTACATTTCCAGAATTGGGGTATTACTTGTGATGTCGCGCATGCTTAAAACACATTACAATCATGAGACAATTCCCTGCTGAGAATAGAATATCGGACAGGCCTCTGTCTGCACGTACTCTTATCGTTAGGGGAAGTCTTACATGTTATTAACCGTGCCAACACTGACATGCAATTGTTATTGTTTCTGGAAAGTACTATTGCTTCTTTATTCTATCGTTAAGGTGTAACATTACTCCAAACAACAAACTTGAAGCCAAGTATGAAAAGAAAAAGATCAATTTACTGTTTTGTATTAACCACTACTCGTGTGATACATCATAAATCATAGTTGCATTCCCATTTGCCATTCTACGATGCCGCCGATGGAAAAAGTTTTTTCTCAAAAGGGAACTATAAATTTGCTATTCCCCTCGTACCCATTCTATAACTGTACTGATTACTGAAAATATTGTAAATCGGTGTGACCAATGACTGACCATTTTACATAACGATGTGACCAATAACTGAATATTTTACATAACGATGTGACCAATGACTGATTATTTTATATAACGATGTAACCAATGACTGATTATTTTAGATAACAATGTGACCAATGATAGTCAGCGTAACTTACTGTTTGAGCGTGATGATACAGTCCACAGTGAGCCGGACACATGCTGACCACAGGTTAAGTAATGCTGGACAGGTCTTGTCGTAGTACCTTTGGGTAACAGGTAAACATCATATTGATAACGAGAACATCCAGGTAACCGTTAACATAAATTACAATTCAACACAATACACACACACACCCCACCCCCCACCCCCGTTGATTGTTGATAGGGGTATCTTACAACTTCTCCGCGGTGGTTTTGCTCCCACACTCCCACATAAATATCCTCAAGCATTATATAATCACCCAACAAACATTCGACAGGGTTTGTAATTTTTCTGTTCTGAATATACATGCAATCTCGTATATAACAAACAACAAAATATCCAAGGGCAAAGCATATTATTATGACAATGATACCAGTTACATTTAATCTCAAAACTTATATTCCATCTTAACAGTTTCTCATTTCTAGTATACAGGAACAGTACAAGTTCAATTTCCATTTAAAAAATATTGTCTTAATAATAAGATTTGATATTATAAGGTCAAACGTATAATAGTTTTAACCACTATAAGTTCTGGTATTTAACCGGATATGACGTAATACCAACTTTTCAGTTTGTTCAGGGTCCTCAGCGATGTTTGTGCTCACATCCATATATGCACCAGTAATGTACTGGACAACAGTTTGAAACTCTTCAAACACAGACGACAGCTTGGCTGCCTCTGCTGCACTGATGCTAGTACCGATATAAAAAGTATAGAAACATTCTTAAAGGAGCTGTTAAACATCTGCATTGGGTGTTATATGTGACAGAAATTGAAACTATCAATACACGAATAGCTCTGAAACTATAACGCACATACAGTTTTATGCTTGTGTGATCCTGAACTTTAAATCGCAGTTCTCGTTAAAATTTAAAGTTAAAATGTGTTAGACCAAACGTAACCACTTATAATCTTTCAATGATAAGTATCAAACTATTTTTTTATTATGCCACACAACCAATTAATATGTTCAGATATGATGAAAAGAACACAGATGTTCTCAGAATATCCATTCAATTGTTTCATAATTACGGTGGGGTCTTCTTTGTTACTTCCATAACTTAAACAGTGCTTTAGACTGGCCCCCGTGTCTAGAATATTGAATTCTTCTTTTTTTTTGAAAATTACAAACTAAGTTATCTGATTCTAGACCTAAGTTCTAGACTAGGGGGAGATAAGCTAGTAGGAAAGTGCAGTTGTGAAATTCTGCATAAAAACTTAGGGGCTGGTGGCCAGTCTAACAGTGTATTTATGAACATGCTTGGACATTGCTATCTGAACCTACCTGTCCATAAGGATCATCTTGCCCTTGACCTTAGTACATGTTCTATACGCACTAGGTAGGGCAAAGTCCTCAACTCTTCGCCAAGCATCACTGAGGGGGAAAACAATATGCTTCATTCATAACTCAGACCTATGATTGTTGATAATGTACGGTATGATCATCAGTTTGGTAGGAATAATCATATGAAAGGCTAAGTCTGTTTTGAACACAAACACTTATCTTGCTAGCTTTCGAAAGCGTCTGTTTCTTTCGTCAATTAAAGAGTGCAAATGACCGGTGTCTCGGCTCTAAACCGCTGACAACAATGTTCTAAGCCACAATGTGTGACAAAACTTGTAAATTCAGATGTTAGAAAACATCTAGACATTTTGCCATATAGCACTCTAATACTAATTCCGTCTTTGCGTATTGCAGAGTTATCTTCTCTTATGAGCAGGTATTGATTGTTACGTCATTTGTTTGTGAGAGTAACGTCATCAATTTTTGAGAAAACGACGTAATTTTCTCACACAAACCAATGACGTAATAATACTAATAGGCAGTCAGATGGACGGAACATATGTTGACTCATGTTCAGAATTAAGTTCATGTAGTAAATGACGATTGTCACATTGTTTCTGTAGGTTCTGATGAATGTTATTTCCAAAAGAATATCACATTGGAAACAAACCAAAGTCAATCTGTAAAAACAACAACCCATTACAATGTATTCAGCGATGTTCCCTGTTGTTTCGTATTTGCTGAACGCAATGAACGATATGTATTTCAGTCAACAACTTACGATACAAACTACAAGTATATCCAAAATCTAAACGTAGAGAGTATTGATTTTACTGGGTAATGGTGAATACTTTACACATTTTGTATATCACACTACTTCCTGCTTACTAGTCCTATTGATATTGCTCTAAGGCATTAAATTTATAGATTAATAGGAATGGTATATAATCCATTAAAACCCCGTTAATTCAAGACTACATTGAACAATACTCACTTCATCGGAGCTAATGTGTAGAGTATGTGAACTGTCATCGTTATTTGGGATGAAAATTAAGTATGTTGTCATTATTTGTTCTTAGCTGCGTCACGACGTCGTGAGGGTGATCTGTCCAGTTTCGTCAATACTCTGGCAAAGTCACACTACAAGTTACAATCCTAGTATATAGGTCACAGTGACACGCTCCCTGTACTCCCTCCCCGTGTCACATCTCAATGTATACTAAATCTTGTTAGCCCAGATGAAGCAGTGTTGCTGATATCAGCCTAGACGCATAGAAAGTGTTGTCCAGACAAGGATATTTCAAGCAAGCACGAATTACGTTAGATAATGTTTGGCTGAAAGTTTGGGATACTTTAAATCTTTATGGTGAAGGAGGATTTAAAATGATAATTTGACGACATGGATAATGAAATGAAAAACCTTTTTTTTTTCAATTTTAGTTGTAACATTAGAATACCAATAATGCTAAACTATAGACAGGTGTGTATATATATAAATAGATAAATAAAGGTATTTCAGGTCAAATATCTGCGTACAATAATTATGTAGGTCAAACGTCCAGATACAATATGTAGGTCAAACATCCAGATACACTTAAAACAAATACAGAGACGTATATTGTGTAAATCATATATGTGTGTACATGAATATATATTTATACCTCTCTTCAAAGCGACAACAGGTTCTCGTTGACGCTTTGATCTACGACTGGAAATGTGACCTCATTATATGTTTGATAATCCTAATATTATAATTATATCCTTAATTGTGAAAAGTACGGGAGTCAATTATTTGGTACACCTGACATGTTACTGTACAGTACATATAAAATTAAATCGAAGGTTTCTTTGACTATTTAGCCGGACTTTTAAAGTCTTCTTTACAATTTATATTTTTAAATGCTATACACGAATAAGAAAATATATATCATAACAGAAAAAGTTTCCTTAACAAATGGAAAGGATTTTTTTTTCTCTCTCTATAAATCTACCTTCTTATCACCTACGTTTTAGCAAGGACGTATAGCTCTGGACAAAACAATTAAAATAGTTACATATGGTAGGCCATATAACAAAATAAAAGTCCAATACAAAATCATAGCACACTGGCTATGATTTGTGAAATCTGAACCAAGGATAAATAACGAAACAGACAAAAGAAGGATTTTATTACCCGGGGAAATCAAGTGGGTCTCATATTTTTAGTCTGCCCATACTTGCTTCTAACTTTGAGGGTATAGCACGAAAGCTCGTATATGAAGATATTCTAGATTATACCTTTTCATGTATTTATGAGGAATTAACCTTTCATTTTGATAGAAAAGCCGTGTACAAATACCACATAAGAGGATATCACGATGTTTAAAAGGACTTGCCAGCTGAAATAAAGCTTTTACAGAGAGTTAAGTGTCTGTGATTGATGGCATAAACCTCTCGGCTGGTTAAAAGTGTTGTTAGCTTCAGGTTTCATTCATTATTTTTTCTTGAAATATCATTGATATTTCTAAATGTCTTGCCTTCAGATGATATACATTTGAACCATTCATATGGATTTAGTTTTGAATTGCAATTATATGTTTGAATTTAATGATCAGGTATCGGTTTTTTTATTATTTTTTTTTTTTTTTTTTTACTTTAAGCTGACAAGCATTTTATTGCATGCGACACTGAGAGTTTAGATCAATTTCGATTGTAATATTACGTTAACCATACATTCGCTCAGGTACGAAGCGGTGAGTATACTCATATAGAAAAACAAATATCACATGTCACAATTCGATTAAATTTCATTTGTATTTTGATATTTAAGCAGTCATGACAGTAAAAATTGATCGAATGTCATAGATCCCACAGAGAAGTACTTACTTGGCCAATTTTTAACTATGACGTCACATATTTTACTATATAATGGCGATACCATTTCAATTATATATTGATTGATCAATGTTCGCCAATTTTCGTTACATGAAAAACATTTAATGGATGTCTAGTATGATTAATTTTAAATGCACTCACTGAAATTGTATTCTTTTACAATATATTGAATAACATCAATTAATTTCTGTGTATTGAATTTGCGTTGTTCTTGGCTGTGATGGTACGGCAAATATAAGAACGATAACTCAAATTCAACCATTCAAGCATGCCACACTAATTTTACCCAAAAAAAAATTGAAGTTAAAATCGCGAAAAAAATAACCGAAAACATTTTTAGGTAAACAGTAAATCACAATGTAGATAAATTCCCCACTTTCTCTCATTTACTTAATCCTAAAGATTTACTTCCACCCATCCTTAAAGGTTTATATCAAAGCTACAGATTTAAAAAGTAAACACAGCATAAGGGAGTAATACATGAAACGTTTTCACGTGATATTTTAACCTGACATTGTGACGGGACATTTTTACCTACCTCGGTATAGAAAACTCCTCCAGAGATTTCCATATCTTTTTGATGTCCAGAGCCAATATGACCGTAGGATCATCCTTCTCTTCAGCATGTCTGTAAATAATGTGATAGACAATATAGATATATAAAGGTAAAAGTCTTGGTCTTTACACAATATGTTTATATGTTCTAGTATTTCTGTAGATGACAAACATGTTACAGCGTCAACGCTCTACGACCCTAAAGTCGATAGGTGTAAACGACAACAGGAACTTTCGAGACCTCAAAACGGACGAAAAGCCACCATCACTCCCCATTAAATGTCGAATAGAACGAGGTGCTCCGAAACGTTTATCGTGCCCAGAACGACATGCGACACATACGAAGTGACCTGTTTTCGTCTGTCTTTATAACGCGAGAATTCAGCTAACTTCAGCATCGAGCTAAACATATGCCGTTTTTATCATTAACCACATACCCTATTCGATTTCTGTAACATTTTATCTGCAGTAGAATTATCAACATAGATACAAAATTAAGAAGCACCTACCTAAAGATTTATTGGAATCTTATCGATGGTACTAAAGGACAAAAGATTCAGATTCTATGTCCAAATATTCCACAATTGATGTAGAAAATCACAAAAGGGAACAAGTGTCTTTACTAAAACCAATAACATATCCCCCAGAAAATAATATCCGCGTTTAAAAATGTTTAAAAATGTTCCAAAACGCAAGACAGTATTATAATTACATTTACATGGCATTGTCGCTAGATAACCTACTTGAAAGCTGTGTCGTTGATGGGACTTTCAAAGGCATGCACCACTAGACGCAATTGTAAGCCAATCAGCAAGCGACAAAACGCTGTTCAATTTATTGAACAAATATGTGCAGACTGTCGATAATGCGAGACTTTTAAATTTTAGATTTATTTTGAAAGTTAAAAAAAACCTGAAAGGCGGAGAAAACGGAAATATAAGTTTCGAATTGTTTTTGTATTGCATTTATGATCTATGTGAATGACACAGCTTTGCAAGCAAACAAATCATAATGTGCTATTCAATTAAATCATAAATGCCATACAGAAACAGTGTAAGCATACATTGTAATCCATCATCTACCATTTACCCATTGGTTACTGTGTTGTCTCGTTTTATCATATTGCTGTTGATGAAAGCGTGAATTGCTTTCTTTGTAATGTGGACGAGATACTTTCGTTTAAACGGGCGTCATAATACAGTAATATGTATATCAGTCTCATACATTTTGTATTGTTACCATTTCAGACAGTTATACATTGTTAAATCGTCAATGACCTTAAATGGTCAATTCCGTATATCGTATTTTAACTTCCAAGACCAATTAAGATCTTGCTCCTATTTAGAAAAGCAAATACGTTGATATTTAAATTCCTGTGGATATCTTGATAATTGGATGAACGTGAATGAGGCATATTTAAATAGCCATTAGCTTTGAATAATAAATCGAGCTTTGAAGATTTTTGAAAGATATCGACCGCTTAAAGTATTATTTTAAACGGGTTTTAATTGTTTGACTGGCATGAAGTAAATTCCTGAATGAAATTGTAAAATAGTTGTATAACATTATACGTACATTATTAAATAGAATGCTCACATGTAATAATTGATGTTTCACTCTACCCTTTTATGCTAAGTTTTACGTTACATTTAAAATGGATTTACCTCGGATTAAAGGATCTGTAATAGTTAAGGCCTTTGTATTCGTGATTTCCTGATGACCGTTTTGAGAATGTACAGAAACGTGTGTTGGCCACACAGTAAACAAACACATTTAAGGCAGAAAGTATGTACTGCTAAATTAGATATTTTCGTGGGGTCCAAACTTCATGGTTTCTAAACAAAACACCAATTCGTGTGTACAGGAATTCGTGGATTACGAGTACCGACTCAAACGGAGAATTACATTATATATTAAACGTGTAATTACTTTGTTGACATAAATTCGTGGATGAAGAGTATCTACGAAATCAACGAAATTACAAACTCCGCAAAAATTAGTGATTCCACAGTACTAGTCTAAATTAAGTACACCAGGTAATTTTTAGCATGCTAATATTGATATGTAGTGTGATTTTATGGGTATTGTGTGTTTGACACGAAAATAAAATACTTTAAATTTGAACTATATTGTATTTATGATGTATAACGATTAATCAAAGCTATCCAGGAAAACAGTTTCCAACACTTATGTAGAGCATATGGCGGTGGTACAGGGATCCTTAAGAAATCATTGATCTGATAAATCTTGAGGCAACAGTATCAGGTTTACAGGTAATGAATTGATGTACTGTTGGCCTTTCGTTAAGGTACTATGCTCCAGTATCCAAGTTAACAAAAGTATGTATTGGACGTTCTGTTGGCCTTTCGTTAAGGTACTATGCTCCAGTATCCAAGTTAACAAAAGTATGTATTGAATGTTCTGTTGGCCTTTCGTTAAGGTGCAATGCTTCAGAAGAAAGCTTTACATGTGCAAATGTTCGAATTATTGACCACTTTCCACAAATCAAAGTGATAGAGCAGTAATGAAACCTTTTATTGACAAAGCTGAGCCGTAAAGACGTCAGTGATACCTATTACTAAGCTGTATCAATATTTACATAACTACAATACTGTATCAATATTTACATTATCATATTCTAAAACGGGTATTTAACAAAGTATTAGATCAAGTCTCTGCCAGTGTCGTATAATATAATTTAAGTGTATAAGACCTTATCGTAATAAAGTTCCACAGAACAAGTCCGGTGATTAAATCTCCGATTACCTAAATGTGTTATCAAATAACGGTGGCTGATATTAGTGGGTTAATTTACATTCGGAACAACATTTGGTTTATTTACATTCGGGAATCCTCTCAGATGATCCATTCATATCTCGACACTATAACGTTCTATTCAAACTATAATTAGCCATGTATCATGGAGTCATAATTAATAAGTAATTTTGTATCTACAACAAAATGGCGCCGGTTAATGAAAAATGTATAAATTTTATATCTAAATCTGAATTCTTAAATGTTAAAAGACGCATTGGTTAGCATGTTGAACAATAAATCAAGCAGGAAAATCAAAATAAAGATCAGGTCTATAAAGAATTTAAGTCTATAAGAACCCTACTGGATCTCTGGATGTGTGTATAACAGGGCGGAAAAGACACATTGTTACCTATATTATAGATAAATAGGTAGTTTATAAACTACAATCCTCGGTACTCCAGGGGTTACGCTCACTAACGCTCTCTGAACCCCTTGGATATGCCACAGCAAAACCCTAGGCTCAGCGTGCACCACCTTTTGAATGAGACGAGAAGACTAGACTGATCCTCTGATGAGCATCAAACGAATCTCGCGGTACAATAGACTGGCTTTTAAGTGGGGTGTCACTCCTTTGTAATCTCCAAAGGACATGTATCTTCCTAGCGATTGGTCTGATTTCTTAACATGAGACCAATCAAATAGCTAGCCGCGTGCCTTCAATTAAAAGGGTGCAGAGAGCGAAAGTGAGCCTTACCCTATCGCGGATGATAAACTACAAAAACTGTAAAACATGCATGCTCAATTAAACCGGTACATACATGACACAAAGATGGTTCTTGTTAAAGTATGTTGTAGTCCTTGTCTCTCCACTATTGATATTGGGAACAGTCTAACATTTGAGATTATCTCATTAATAACTGTTAAATCACTTTAATCTTGCCTCAACCATCACTGGAGAAACCAACCGATACGATATAATTATAGGAGGGGACCACTGTAATCCATCTGTAGTTAAAAATTGTAGTTGAATATATATTTCAAAGTTAAGAACACGCGTCATGACTTAAATTGATAATACATATATGTAATATACATCCAAACTATATAATCTGTCATTTGGAACCAATATGAGGTGATATGTCCATGATGATGTCATACTTAGTATATAATTACTATTATTATACTATAATAGCTTTTACTATAATTAGTAATTGTACTGAGCTGACAGCAGAGGGTGTTCCACTCCTACAGTCAGAACAGTATTTGTATATCTGTGTTTGATCCTCGCAGTTACAGTACAATTGAGCATTAAGGTGTCACACATTTAACCTCCTGAAAGACCACTTTACATTGTAGATATACAAAGCGCTCAAATCTAGTATTTAAACAAAAAGGTAATTGTATTGTCAGATAGACGGATGGGGATTTATTAATTTATTTGAGTATACAGAGACGTTGCTCTATAATTATATCAAATAGTTTTGTGATTCCAATAAGTTGAGGTTTATATGTGTTATAGTTATATGGGCGGATTGGTCAGTGGTAAACACTCTGGCCTTCCACGCAGGTGGCCGGGGTTCGATCCCCGAAGTCGTCGTACGCATGGATAATCAGAGAAAGTGTTTTTCTCCTGCCCGTACAACTCCAACAACCAAGGTGGAGTATAAATTTGTCTGGGTTGGACATTGCGGTATCTGTGCTAAAGCATTCAACACAATACATCTCCAGCACACACGCAGGCATACACACATAGGGAGATATTAGCCAGGTGACATAGGACTAATTGTTAGCTCATGAAAAGGTAGCTCCTGCGAATTAGTCATTTTTTTATTGATTCATGTATATGCGAATTGTATATCTGTGTACCGTTAAGAGTTTTAGAGTGGCTTATGTTAGCTAGATAGAGCGCTTTATCAAATGTTGTATATAATTAAAATTTGTTTAGGTCAGTGTCAATAAAAAGTCTTAAAATGCTACACTTACTTTTTCTTTGCGAGCCGCATTTTCTCTTCTCTGAGTTTCCTGAAAGGCAAATGAAACAGATTGATTTAAACAGAACTCAGTGAAATGATCATACCGTATATGGCATTGTATTTAACAACAGAAGGTCTGAAACCAAATGAATATTGATAAGTACAACCGTTCAATACGTATACGTGTCTTAAGCCCCGGTCACATCATATGGTCACGTATATTGTTGACCGTAGTTCACATGGACGTAATTGACCGTAGTTCATGTGGTCGTAGTTGACCGTAGTTCATGTGGTCGTAGTTGAAAGTAGTTCACGTGGACGTAGTTGACTGTAGTTCATGTGGACGTAATTGACCGTAGTTCATGTGGACGTAGTTGTCCGTAGTTCATGTGGACGTAATTGACCGTAGTTCATGTAGACGTAATTGACCGTAGTTCATGTGGACGTAGTTGTCCGTAGTTCATGTGGACGTAATTGACCGTAGTTCATGTAGACGTAATTGACCGTAGTTCATGTGGACGTAGTTGACAGCAGTTCATGTGGACGTAGTTGACCGTAGTTCATGTGGCCGTAGTTGACCGTAGTTCATGTGGACATAATTGACCGTAGTTCATGTGGACGTAGTTGACGGAGTTGACCGTAGTTCATGTGGACGTAATTGACCGTGGTTCATGTGGACGTAGTTGACCGTAGTTCATGTTGATGCAGTTCACCGTAGTTCATGTAGACGTAGTTGATCGTAGTTCATGTGGACGTAGTTGACCGTAGTTCATGTGGACGTAGTTGACCGTAGTTCATGTTGACGCAGTTCACCGTAGTTCATGTAGACGTAGTTGATCGTAGTTCATGTGGACGTAGTTGACCGTAGTTCATGTGGACGTAATTGACCGTAGTTCATGTGGACGTAGTTGACCGTAGTTCATGTGGACGTAGTTGACCGTAGTACATGTGGACGTAGTTGACAGTAGTTCATGTGGACGTAGCTGACCGTAGGTCATGTGGACGTAGTTGACCGTAGTGCATGTGGACGTAATTGACAGTAGTTCATGTGGACGTAGCTGACCGTGGTTCATGTGGACGTAGTTGACCGTATTTCATGAGGACGTAGTTGACCGTAGTTCATGTTGACGCAGTTGACCGTAGTTCATGTGGACGTCGTTGACCGTCGTTCATCTGGACGTATTTGACCGTAGTTCATGTTGACGCAGTTGACCGTAGTTCATGTGGACGAAGTTGACCGTAGTTCATGTGGACGTATTTGACCGTAGTTCATGTTGACGCAGTTGACCGTAGTTCATGTGGACGAAGTTGACCGTAGTTCATGTGGACGTACTTGACCGTAGTTCATGTGGACGTAGTTTACCGTAGTTCATGTGGACGTAATTGGCCGTAGTTCATGTGGACGTAATTGAACGTAGTTCATGTGGACGTAGTTGACGTAGTTGACCGTAGTTCATGTGTACGTAATTGACCGTAGTTCATGTGGCCGAAATTGACCGTAGTTCATGTGGACGTAACTGACCGTAGTTCATGTGGTCGTAGTTGACCGTAGTTCATGTGGACGCGATTGACCGTAGTTCATGTGGACGTAATAGACCGTAGTTCATGTGGACGTAGTTTACCGTAGTTCATGTGGACGTAGTTGGCAGTAGTTCATGTGGACGCAGTTGACCGAAGTTCATGTGGACGTAGTTGACCGTAGGTCATGTTGACGCAGTTCACCGTAGTTCATGTAGACGTAGTTGATCGTAGTTCATGTGGACGTAGTTGAGCGTAGTTCATTTGGACGTAATTGACCGAAATTTACCGTAGTTCATGTGTTCGTAGTTGACCGTAGTTCATGTGGACCTAGTTGACCGTAGTTCATGTGGACGTACTTGACCGTAGTTCATGTGGACGTAGTTGGCAGTAGTTCATGTGGACGCAGTTGACCGTAGTTCATGTGGACGAAGTTGACCGTAGTTCATGTGGACGTCGTTGACCGTCGTTCATCTGGACGTATTTGACCGTAGTTCATGTGGACGTAAGTGACCGTAGTTCATGTGGACGTAGTTTACCGTAGTTCATGTGGACGTAGTTGGCAGTAGTTCATGTGGACGCAGTTGACCGAAGTTCATGTGGACGTAGTTGACCGTAATTCATGTGGACGTAATTGACCGTAGTGCATGTGGACGTAGTTGACCGTAGTTCCTGTGGACGTAGTTGACCGTAGTTCAGGTGGACGTAATTGACGGTAGTTCATGTGGACGTAGTTGACTGTAGTACATGTGGACGTAGTTGACAGTAGTTCATGTGGACGCAGTAGTTCATGTGGACGTAGTTGACCTTAGTTCATGTGGACGTAATTGACCGAAGTTCATGTGGACGTAATTGACAGTAGATCATGTGGACGTAGCTGACCGTAGTCCATGTGGACGTAGTTGACCGTAGTTCTTGTGGTCGTAATTGACCGTAGTTCATGTGGAAGTAATTGAACGTAGTTCATGTGGACGTAGTTGACTGCAGTTCATGTGGACGTAGTTGACCGTAATTCATGTGGACGTAATTGACCGTAGGTCATGTGGACGTAGTTGACAGTAGTTCCTGTGGACGTAGCTGACCGTAGTTCATGTGGACGAAGTTGACCGTAGTTCATGTGGACGTAACTGACCGTAGTTCATGTGGTCGTAGTTGACCGTAGTTCATGTGGATGTAGTTGACCGTAGTTCATGTGGACGCAGGTCACCGTAGTTCATGTGGACGCAGTTGACCGAAGTTCATGTGGACGTAGTTGACCGTAATTCATGTGGACGTAATTGACCGTAGTTCATGTGGACGTAGTTGACTGACTGTAGTGCTACTACGGTCAACTAGGTTGAAGTAGGTTCAAAATTGGCAAAAGAGAAACATAAAGAAAGTACGGCCAACTACGTTGGATTACGAGCAAAATGGCTAGGGTTAACTAGGGTTAACTATAGGGTTAACTAGAGTCAAACTACGTCTAACTACGGGCAACTACGATAAACTAGGGTCAAGTAAGGTCAATTATGGTCAACTACGGTCAACTACGTTCAAACTATTGTCACAGTAGGGACCTGGCATGCAAACTCATCGAAGAGAAATTTTTGAACATGTTGGAAATCTTTGGGATAACTACGGCCAAATCATGTGTTTCTTGAAGTTCAAACTACGTTTATAACTACTTTGAACTTCGTCTAACTACGTTTATAACTACTTTGAACTAGGTCTAACTACGTTTATAACTACTTTGAACTACGTCTAACTACGTTTTATTACGTTTAACTAAGGACACCTACGGTCTACTACAGTCAACTAGGGGCATCCCCCACAACGGTCACCTACGTGCGTGACCGTAAGATGTGACCGCGGCTTTAAATCAAGGTAGATAGTTATGATGTGACATTCCAATTTTAGGGAGAGATTAATAGAATCTTCCCCTACCTTGAGGGTGTGACAGAGAAATCTCCAACCCGAGGGATGGTTTTTGGTTGTCTAACCCAAACAAATAACCCCGAGGGTTGGAGCTTTCTCTGTTACACCCTTAAGGTAGGGGATGATTGTTTTTCTCCCACCCTGTTATTTTAGTCACAACTCCACCGACAATAGTGTAAACAAAAACACATGTGGGGTATGCATATCGTCATTCACTTTTGATGACGTTACAATTGAACACGTGATAATCGGCACGGGGCTATATCCCCCTAGGGGGTGACAAGCTGATCTTTCCCGTCTAAAACGAGAGACACACATGTAAAGGGTGGGAGAAACATTAATTATCGATTAAAACATCTCATCAGCGAACTCTACAAGTCGCAAAATTGAAAATATCTCAACAGGTCTAATAACAATAACGTTACTACAAGGATACCTTTAAGAAAATAGAAGGAAATTGTACATGGAAACCAAACACACTGGGTATGGAAACGAACAGTTCAAGAACTGATTTGTTTTTGTTTTAAAACCTTGCAAACACGATCATGCATATCACTGAGCGGCATGTCTAGAGCTTGAAAAACGCAGCAACGAAACCGATGACCAACACACACACAAGTGAAATAAATAAACTTATTTCAGCTCTTCCCAAACTGACACGGAATACTCTTGCTGCGTTTCCTATGAACAGCTATTCTGTCTTTGCGTATTGCAGAGTTATCTTCTCTTGTGAGCAGGTATTGATTGTTACGTCATTGGTTTGTGAGAGAAAATTACGTCGTTTTCTCACAAATTAATGACGTTACTCTCACAAACAAATGACGTAACAAGCAATATTAAGGACGTGTTAGGTTTTGGTGTTGGAGGAAAAGCTCTGCTACACATACTTTAGTGACGTCGACGAATCCTCCACCTCCGTTGAGAACGAAGCAGTTATTAAAAATATATGTTTATTGGGGACAACATTCCACATCACTATAAAGTCCACGAAAGACACCAAGTCACTAACTGTATGTACATGTAAATCCGTCGTTCGTTGGTTGTTTGAGACAGTGACTCTGACTGAATATGCCCCGCTGTATGAAAACCAGAGATGCGTTCCGAATGTTGGCAAACGTTTTGTAATCGAACGTGCTGTGTATGTTCTAACTATGGTGCAAACCAACTAGTCAGACACAAAAACAAAGTTTTAAAAATATCCCATTAGTAACAAAGATCGTTGTTTTAAAATTTGCCGGGTTTTTTTTGTTTATTTTTTGTTTTTTCGTTTGGTTGTATTGTTTTGTTTTGTTTAACGTCCTGTTAACAACCAAGTCATTTCAGGACGTGCCTCCGTGTGTGTTATTTATGAGTTTTTGGATGTACCATTGCCTCCTTGCGATAGCGCGGATCTAATGCCGACTTTAGAGTGCTACCTTACTGACATAGCACGCCTAAGGCACCCAGTACAGCATTCCACCCGGTCACACTATACTGACAACGGGTGAGCCAGTTGTTGCGATAACCATAAATGCTGAACGTTAAGCAGGAAATAACAACTACCATTTTTAAGGACTTTGGTACGTCCGTGTATTTGTGATCGGTCAAGGGAATTAAAAAAGTGATTAAATCAGTTAT